CCATTTCTTTAGATTTGTTTACTGCCAGGCTTCAAGCATAGCCCACTGACTAATAAGAAAACCTAATAGAATATTTTATTTTGATACATTTCCAGCATTGGTGGAAGAGCAGATGCGATTGCAAATTCGCGATCTGAACCAAAAGCCATTTGCACATCAAATAAAAAGTGTTTTTATATTTCTCTTTCTTGTATTTTTTTTGTTGTTATCTTGTTATTTTGATGGGCAATACATTTTTTATTATTACTATTATCATAGGTTATTCCAAAAGTGTAGTCCATTTCAATGTCATGAATTTTTGTTGCTTTATATCTCAATAAATATGCATTCTACTGTGTCTACTACTATCGATTGCGAATTTTATCCTCTATATATATTGATGCAGTTAAATTTTATAAAAAANCACCGCAAAGGTGGAAACCCATCGATAAAAAACCATGGCTACTGTATGGTGGTTACTATAAATTTCTGCAACCGGGCCAAATTATCACTTCAAAGTCCTATTGCGAGGGAATCGACGAAAAGTATTGAAAATTGAGTCGGCAGCAGCCGGCACTGGCCAACAGAAGATATACGATTCTGGTCCAAGGTAAAGCCCAAATCACCATTCAAAAATTAAACGAAATGAGTATCGAAATTTTGACTTCACCCACCATACTCTCCAGACCTCTCGCCAACCGACTATCAGGATCAAGCAAAAACGGCCTTCGTCGACTTCATCGAATCATGAACATACAATTTTGAGTTCAAAGTAGACTTATCGAAACGGTCAATACTTTTGAAACAACCTATTACTTTATGAAACAATGCTTAACTCACCTTCTTGCATTTCCAGACATTTTCAGGCCGATTCAAACCAATTGCCTCAGTTAATGACCAGCTCACCACATGTTTTATATATTTCCAGATCAGCTGTTAGTGGAATAGCTAAATAATTGAGATTTACGCGACCACTCTGATTGAGATTATTTAACGCTACGTGTGCGTGACAATCAGTTCACATCTGATGACTGAAACAGCCTGTATTAAACTGAATAAAATATCTGAAGACGACACGGCCTGAAAAACTGCTTCCATACTTGGAAGTGATTGGGCAGATAATTTGGAGGCGGAAAGGAGATTTATAAAACAGATCTCCTAAATGACATTATTTATTGTTGAAAATTACATCGTTACCTTTAAAACAGTTTTAAAGTTCGGTTCAATTGAAAAAATATGACTTTTTTAATACATACATGGTCTAAAGTAGTAAAGAAATAAGACATCCTGTCTCGAACTTGAGTCTCTATCACCTCTGAGTTTTATATTTTCAACTGAGAGTAAATAAAAAAAAGTTTTATCAGTAAAAATAATGTAATGACTTGAAAAAATTCAGTGGACCATAATCTTCCTAACTTTGCTATTTGACTTGAAATTAATGCCATTAAGTGACTTGCGTAGAAGTCTTGCCTTCGATACATTTCTAAGTAAACTAAAAAACTCATTTCTTCTAAACACTTAATGAACAAAAAAAGGATTCCAAACATGTCGTCGATCACTGTGGACACTAGCGGCGCACTTGGGAGGGATGTAGTTCCCGACATGCCCCTGGTCTTGAAAGTATGAGGGGTGCACAAAGTCACAATTAATGTAACATTAAACACGAATCGGTAACGGGCACAGCCTACAAAGAGCCCTGGACAGAACACCGTCAGTTGTTTTGATTGAGGCTACACAGCTAACACCATCCTTTCCTAGAATCAACTCCAAAACACGTCCAAGGTGTCATCTCATAACAGGCAAACTATTATCCTTCACAAGAACCAATTGTCCAACCTGAGGCTGTCCTTGGCTTTGTTTCCATTTGGAACGCTGTTGAAGCTCGTTTATGTATTCGAGACTCCATCTGTTCCAAAATGTTTGTTGCAATCTTTGTTAATGTTGAAAGTGCGAAAGTCTGCTGGCTGGTACTTCATGTAACAATTGCAATACCTTGGATGGATTGTTCAATCAAAAAATGAGCGGGGGTGAAGGGGGTCAAATCATTAGATTCTAAGAACATAGTACTCAGAGGAAGAGAATTCATTACAGCCTCGATTTGAACCAATAACCGCCAAAATGAGGGGAATTGGCAGGAATAAAATGCCAATTTTTATGCATCGTTGTAGCTAGGTCTGAAATGTTTAATGAATTTTTTATCAAAAATCTACGTGATAGTTGTAATTCATTGTTTGTACCAATGAAATTCGTTCCTTTGTCGGAAAAAATATCCACGACGTGGAACAAAACGTCTGAGCATTTGAATGAAAGCTTCTGACGACATGGCAGAAACTAAATTAATACGTATAGCATGGGTTAAAAAGCACACAAATACACAAATCCAGGAATTTGATGTTTTTGCACCTCTGCTTTTTTATTTTCAACCAAAACAGGCCTTGCGTAATCCACGCCTACCTTACTAAAAGGAGGAGCAGAATCCAATCTAGAACTTGGTAAATTACCCATTATGGGTTAGATTGGTTGGTTACTGATTCTGCAACATTCAACACCAGATCGAATAATTTCTTTATTACACGTTTTATATCAGCTTCATCTGTATATATGTATGTATATTTGTAACTCTCAAGCTCGGGATCTTTATTTGACATAATTATCGATATTATTGCTTGACCTATTCGCCGGCAGATTGCACTGTACGTCACCTCCTTGATAAATCGACATCATTGCTTGGTCTATTCGCGGGCAGATGGCGCTGTATACGCGCTAAACAATAACGAACGGAAAATTCAAGTATCATTGTGAAAAAAGCGTGGGCACTTTGTGACACATTTTTAGTATATCAAGAGCCAGTCGCTTTTTTCACAATAATACTAATATTTTTCGTTCGTTATTGTTTCAAGTCTATTCAAAAAAAATATTTTTAACTTTCAGTTCGATGTTCTTCAAAAGCGTGTTTTCAGTTTTTCAAACTATATTCATTTAGATAAATTTTTTCCAGAAATAGGACAAATTTTTTTGCGAATATTAGCCAGCAATAATTGAGGCCCGGCATGTAAAAGACGTTTATCTTCAAATTCGATAATTGACTTTGTTAAATCGTGTTGAGGGGACAGTAGAATTGAGTATTTTTTGTCATAGGAAAAGTTAGAATTGGTTAACCGTTTACCAACTCTAAGTAGTCCATCTTTATCTGCACTTGTTGCTTGTGCAACAAGTGCAGAAATTAACCTACTCCACACTATGTATGGAAATTGTGAACAAGTATGGAATATGTTATCTGTATGAGTATCATACTATAGCCTTTGTGAGTACGACTGAATTGAAAGTATATTTAATAAATTGATATCTTAATTACAACTGTACAAATTGATATTGACAGTACCATCGTTAGCAATAATAATTTTTTTCATTCATTCAGAACAAAACTTCCAGAGAAGATTATGCTGGTGTTGAGAAGTTGATAAAAATTATTAACAACTTTTGATAATGAGAAAATATGACTGAACACTATATCTAGCAGATACGTATGAGAAAAGAAATATTTTGGAATATTATTTTGAAAAAGTCATCTCACTCAACTACCTACACTGTAGATTTTGGTAAATATCTGCCGAAAAACAACTTCTTCCCCGGCTAATAGCACGCTGGATATTGAATTATTTCCAATAGATAGTTATGCAAAATACTCCACTGAGGTTCGTCACGCAAATGTTTTTCGTTCGTTCATCCAGCAGCAGGACCATGCTGAAATTATTCGAATAGAGTACCCATAGACCAGATTCGAGGTTTTATTTCTCATCAGTGTAGGAAAGATCCTACTCAAACAGCGAAGTGCCTGGGACATTTCATTGCTGTGCCGCTGTTTCCGATTTCAAAGGTGGGAATATAAGGAAAAATGCATGATGACGCTCTTAGGGTTGAATACTCTAGAGATAAGACAGCTCTCGAATCGGATCTTTGGGTGGGGGCTAATTCAAGGCTATCATCCTGCACAAGTTACTCGAAACCCACTATAGCATGGTAACTGCAGTTGCTGAGAGCCCCACTAGCAACTTCAAAATAGATTTCTGCAATATCAGAAGACTCAACTGAAATATAAATTCAGTGCACCAACATCTGCAATCAAATAGTACTCACTGCTGTATAAAGTTTAACTTTTGTTGAACTTATAAAATGACCGCTCGAAATAATATCTATTCTACCATATATACAGCGGGATCGTCACACTGAGGATCACCAAATTGTAATGAGATATATGATTCTAGAGAGAATATGAGCATTATAAATTGTATATGAGTATTTACAAAATCATTATTCTAATTACTCTCACCAGTACAATCGGTTCAAATCTGTTTAAAATATGTTTTTCCGTTAATCAGCTGTCGCCCCATACGAACGACAACTCTTAGAAGTTGAGAAACTTGTGCGAGCTAAGGACTAACGAAGTCTTACCTTTAAACGTGTGATTCCTAACACACAATTTCATTTATGTGACTTTCAAAAATTGAATCTTTATCAATTGTAATTATTGGAGCCAAATATTTATGCTTTTCAACTAAGCTGATCAATTAATATTCAGTTTTATATTGTTCATACTTTTCAGCCTCCAAGTTGATTGTTGAATCAAGGTTATTTAGCCGTTCCTGAATTTTTTCTGTGTCGTACATTATCTTGAATTTGCAAATTGAAATCGCAAACAGATCTTGGAAGCACAGCTCTATCCGATATTCCACTTAGGATCCCTTGTTCATGAATTGATGGATGTAGCTGTTACTACGTGGTAGGAGATCATCATAAAGAATGAAAAATGAAACTTTTTATGTTTTTTTACCACTTTTATTGGTAACTAATGTAGTAACTAATGTTACTGCAGAGTTTCGTCCTATAAAGACATTCTCGAACAATTCCAATAAACTGCAGTTCTGCAGTAACATTAGTTACGAATGAAAGTGTAAAAAAAACATAGAAAATTTTACCTTTCATTTCTCACCTTGTGCATGATTTTTTCTGTGTACACAAAAACCAAATTGAATCGTAATATTTATTCATCGAGACTAACATTTATGAACAATGTTCATCAGAATCTGTATCATGATGGGAAGTTTCAACTCTTCTCAATACATTCTCAAGGTGCTGAAAAAAACATACTAGTGAATGATGTACAATCAGACATGTTTCATATAAATGTCCTTCTCTTTTTGAACAACAAACTTTGAGAATCACTCAAGTGGTCTATCTACCTTACCTCTAGGAGAGTAGAGAAAGAATTTCTGTTTATGCTGATGCAGGCTGATATAACGTCATACAATAATTCAAGTTGGGCGACGGCCATGTTTTTTGATGTAACCATAGAAGCATGTTTCCACAAGTTGTATATTTTCTCCATATAGATATCTGCAAATAATACTTTGTGAATACCAGGATGAATACTTGCCGGATTGAGGAACAAGCGCAATAATGCCTCAGCCTTCGTATTCACCAGATTTGACACCCTGCGACTTTTTCCTTTTCCCAAGATTAAGAGCCCCACGAAGAAACGGCGTTTTGTGACGATTGAGAAGTTAAAAACCGAATCGTTTGAGAGAGCTCAAGGACATACAAAAAAGTACAAAACTTTCTTTGAAGATTGGAAAAAAAAGCTGGCACAAGTGTGGGGGACTACTTTGGAGAGGACAAAGTAGGTATCAATAAATAAATGAGTATTTTTTGAAAAAAATTAAATTTCACCTTACCTTACAGGTCTCTAGGGTTTTTTGCCCAAAATGAACCAGTTCGCAGCAAAACATTATTTTACGAACAACTACAGAGATACATCGTCATAAATGCGAACTGGATTTATTGTTATTTTGTAGTTGGTACCTGCATTAAACGATTAGAGGGTAATAAACAAAACTAATTTATCAATAACAAAACACACAACATGTAGAAATCATAGTAAATGTTCAATATGTCTACCTTCAGACATTACGCATGCGTCTAGACGTCGGCGCATTGAGCCACGTATTCGCTCAAATATTCCTGGAGTCTCTCTGATTACCCTGCACGCATCGATGATGTGGTTCCTCAAGTCCTCTACATCGCGAACAGGAGTACGATAAACCAAATGCTGTAAATGGCCCCAAATAGAGAAATCGAGAGGATTGAGATCCGGGGATCGAGCGGGCCAGTTCTGTGGTCCTCCTCGACCAATCAACTGATTTGCATATTTCAGTTGAATGCTGACGTGCTACTTGACTAAAATGGGCGGGAGCCCCATCATGCATAAAAAACATATCCCTTCTGACGCCCAGCAGTACCGGATGCACTTATCTTCAAAATTGATCGTATACCTCACCATTCAATCGAGGAGCCACACGTTGAGATAAAACTGTTCTTGATAGTTAGTTTCGACAATAGCTTGAGGGTTTTCATCAGCCCATATGTGGTAATTATGAAAATTAACAATATTATCCCGAGAAAAACTACATTCGTCTGTGAATTCTATCGTTTTCAGAAAGTCACAATTTCTTCTAACCATTTCAAGCATCCAATTGCAAAATTCAAGGCGGTTCGGATAGTCTCGCGGTAACAGTGCCTGTACCCGTTGCAGATGGTGAGGGTATTAAGAGGTGTTCCTTTTAAATTCGAATTATCGTCATATGATCAACATTTAGCTGGAAAGCAATCTTTCTATTACTGGTAGTAGGTTGTTCTTCAATCACATTAAGTACTGCTTCCACAAGCTGTGGTGTTCGTACTTCTCGATGGCGACCACAATCATGCGTTTATTTGTCGAATGAACCATATTCTCGTAATCGTTGATGAAGTCGAACAAATATTCTATGCGAAGGAAGCTGCCGTTGAGGATACATTTCAGCATATCTTCTAGAAGCTTCTAACCCATTCCCCTGCGACAGACCGTAAACAGCCATTTCCTCATTTGTGTATGCCATTTTAATAACAAGTGAATTATTAAAGTAACAAATTAAGAACAGCACAACAACAAACAATTAGTATTGATTCGATTTCGAAAATTCACAAACTGACAGCGTCATACCAATTTAGTTGTCACTATCGCTAATAGCGACCTACTAGATCGATGAGGAATCACCTCCTCAAATGTTTTGAACTCATTTAGTTACACCCTGTATTGGTAAATGTGAGTAAACAAATTGGAATACTGTATCTTACACATACGTATAAAATAATTATTAATTTGAAATAGAACTTTGATACGTCCATCAATCTCATCTCCCATCTTACACAGTGGGTTCTGGTGAATGACTGCCGGAAAACAACTGCTTTCCTGGATAATACTTCGCTGGACATTGAATAACATCCAAAAATAATTCTTCAAATCTCTGAATCTTAATGAATATTCATTTATGAATCGATAGAATTAGGAATTGATAGCCAGTTGGGTTGTCGTGGCGTGGTTCATTCTTACTCATTCAATCGACAGCTATGTGAAATGTTGGTTCAAACTCTACAGCCAGACCATTGATTTCCACTGCTTATCGTACTGAAAATCGCACGTTTGAGGAGTAAGACCTCGGTTATCCTTAGTTAGAGTTAGAGCCATTTTCAAACCTGCAAGAACGATAGGTCAGCAGAAAACCTCAGAGATCCATTAGTACACCAGGAGTGAGCTCTGAAGTTGTAATTCGTTCCACATTGGAACCACAGAAAACGTTGAAACGTGCTTGACTAACCATAAAAAATTGCTGCTAGAGTCACGCTCTAGCAGCACGATCTCTCAGAGGTCAGCCATGACAAAGCCTTTGAATGTACGCAAGTTCTTGATAAAACCAGAGGTTAGTATTTGAGGATAGTCTGGGAGGCTATGGAAATACAAAAACGGATATTTGAAATGGTGGTTCGAACTCTACAGTCAGACCATTGATTTTCACTGCTTATCGTACTGGATATCACACGTTTGAAAGGTAAGACTTTGGTTATTCTTGGTTAGAGTTAGAGCCATTTTCAATTCCACAAGAACGATAAGTCAGCAGAAGACCTCAAAGATCCATCAGGTACCCCAGGAGTAAACTCTGTAGTTGTGGTTCGTTCTACATCGGAACCACAAAAAAGGGTTAAAACGTGCTATTCTGATCATAAAAAATTTCTGCTAGAGCCACGTTCTAGCAGCACGATCTCTCAGAGGGCAGCCATGACAAAGCCTTTAAACGTACGCAAGTTCATGAAAAAACCAGAGAACAGTATCCCAGGATATTCAGAGAGGACATAGAAATACAAAAACATAAGAATAATTTCAGTCGTAAGGAAGAGAGCTCAAACATTAAAACATGGAAACCAACACTTCATAACACAAAGAGTAGTCGGTCATCCAACTAGTCGCATTACAAGTACAAACTCGCAAGGATCATTTTCAGTTTGCCGTTCGCAACATTTCTTTGCAGTATCGCATCGCAGCTTCACGCGTTAGATTAGATTGTCAGGGAGCTGGCCCATGATCTGAATCTCTGCAACCTTTTCAGATCTACTGTGATGCTCTCCGGTTGTTAGAGCTCATTGTCTAGCTCAATATCTTTGATGAGACTCCATAGCCGTGACGCTGACCCCTTCATAAAGCTGGCAGCCTCTGACTTCTCTTCCTAGCATCTTGCGTGTCCCTGCCTTGCTATCGCTTCGCATTCACAGAGCACATGGAGTGTGGTTTCTTCCTCTTCTTGACAGAACCTGCATTGAGTCTTCTCTGTCAGACCCATGTTCCTCATGTGTTTCCTGAGTCGGCTATGCTCCGTTAGTAGACCCACCGCTGCCCTTACAACCTTACGGTTGTGGTTTAGCAGATCTTTCGTGAATTTGGGCGATGGTTGCTTAAAGAACTCTTTCGCCTGCCTCATTCCCGGGAGCTTATTCCACCAATCCATCGATTTGGCTCAAATCCATGGGTTTATGGATGTCTTTATACATGTTACCCCGCAGAAGGGTTCTGGGCCGATCATAGCCTTGGATGCGCCTTCACAGGCTAGAAGATCGGCCTTCTCATTGCCCTTATGACCCTCACGTCTGGGTACCCAAGCTGGAGTTGCCCTATTTTGGGCAACTCCAGCTTGCGCTCAGACAGTTTTCCACCAGTCTTTAGAAAACTTGAAATGAACTGAGCGCCTTAATTGCCGCCTGGCTGAGGGAAAAAATTGCAATGGTTATATTTGTGACCTTCTACTTGTTTATTTCCCCTACACAGTGTCTGATGGCCGCTACTTCTGCCTGGAACACAGTTGCATTATGTCCGAGGCTGAGTGCGGTTCTCTCTTATTTCATAAGATATTTTTATAACGAAAAGCAAACGTGAAAGTTTCTACAGATAAATGAACGAAACTATAAAAAATGCAAGGATTTAACTTACCACTTTAAGAAAAATTAATCGTGAGCAAAATAATCATAATGAAATCAAAGCAGAGTACCATATCAATATATACCATTATTAATAGTTTGATCTGTGGGCATGCTTGCAATGAGATTCACGATATATTTTAAGGAGGTGGCAGTCCGAAGCTCTGAGAGGCACTGATTCTCATACATGCTCAATGGGATTGAGATCCAGATAAATATTGTGGCAAAATTTGCTCACTACCCTTGCAGTGTAGAAACGTATACTATACCGCCTAACTGAGATTAGTGATTTTCATTTCATCTGGACCTATATTTATTGACACAGTTTGGGCGCTTTTACTTGGAAATTGATTTTTCTACCAACTTCAGTGAATGAAAAATATTGGAAAACTACTAGACTTACAACGTAAAATACTCTCTCAGTACTTTTGAGTGGACATTCAAGAATAATGAAGAACAAAATTAAACTCTCATGATCAAAGCATCGTGTCAGCTCACCTTCAAACTTTTGACGATAAGACGAAGCAGTAGTAACTCTCCTTGGTTCGATTTTGATCAACTTGTCGCACAAAACGTTTTCCAAAATATTGGTGCTGGAGCTTGATGAGTCTCTGTTAACAATGATATTTCGATGATTCAGTAGGTCAGACAGTACCCTAGTGAAGTACTGCTTATTCTTCGACGAAGCCACAGACGTCATACTGTCGCCGGGAGTGAGATTTCCTTCATCTCCCTTTTCACCTGTGACAGGAATGTGAAATTCAAGATTTTTTATTAATAAAGTAATACAAACAATGAAATTATGAAACAACAAAGATCAATTGGAGCTCCGGGCCGAGTTGATTGATTTCAGTAGCGTCATGAACAACTCTTGTAAAATGCTATTCATGCAGCAAGTATTTCCTAAATTATCTAATTCAATTTTCTTCGCAAGATTTTCAGGATAACTGCCTACTGATTCGTACGGAAGAACATGTTCTACAGAATCTGCATCAGAACCATTTTTGAGCTGCAATCGATCCTTCAAAGTGATGAAGGGTTTCGTAGTAATAGGGGAGCCCAAGCGGGGATTTCGGGATTTACTAAAGCGCGGCAGATTGATATACAGGGGGATACCTTGTATTAAGTTCAATGAATTGAAAGAAATGAAAAAAAATATTGTTTTTGTCAGATTAAAAGAATCTCTCTAGATAATCGTCAGATTATGAGACAGCACGTCTAAAACATAAAGATGAAGCATATATATCTCAATCTGACACATTATAATAATGACCGCGAGCTCGCGTCAGATCGAAATCGTCAGATTATTGAATGAGAGCTTTTTCCTTAGAAAATCTGACGCGCTCGATTGATTTTTTTTTTATTTTCACTTTTAACACTTACGTACAACCATCCACATCATGCAAGCGATCAGATTAACATACCAACATTATTAAAAAAAACGTAGGACATTGATGCTATCAATATCTGACGCGCTCGAGTATGTCCATGCAACAGTATTTTTTTACATATTCAAACATCTATAGCCGCTTCCCTCACCGATGAAAAGGTATATATTATATAACATTTTTTTCTTCTTATCATCTAAACTTTGCAATCTAATATGTCTCAATGACGCTCGTGGGCTCCCCTGCTATAGAGGGATCGATTCGGCTCTTGCTCCATGAAGCTCTTAGGCCTCTTATGCACGTGCAGTTCTGGGGTTTGCAGTTAAACGGCACAACGTTCGGCGTTTCACTGTGGAGCGGTCGCTACCTTTTCATGCAAGTTGCAACGGTTTAGACGGCTGGTAGATCTATTATTACAGTGTTGTCAGACAAGAGAAATAGAATGTATCCGAGCGTGTTATATTAGTTTTTAATATATCGCAAAACGCAAAGAAGACAAAGACGGTGGGTTGTCCATCCACTAATAGAACATGATCTATCGATGGGGTCTTCCGAAACTTGTACATACGGTTAAGAGAGGATCGATAAAAATTATTCAACTATTTTAGAATGTTTATTCAATATTTCGATGAGCTTGCTATTAAAATAAGAGAAACTATCAGACGTCAACTATCCACAGATTCTTTTTGATATTCCTATCTTTATAATCTTCGGACGATAGATACATCCCAAATAGTCGTCCGACATCTGATATCCTCAATGAACTGGTCTGCCCCATTCGAACTTATTTTGAAAACTAGTCACTTGGACTCGGGGGATGGCAACAGAGCGAATGGCGCCAACAAAAACGTTGAACGTCTGCATAAAAACCTCCTCCTGTACGTGAATTTCTGCGGTCCAAATCTATATTTTTGACGGCACGATCAGACGGACAGCCGCACGTTTGCCACATCCAACCGCAAATGTCTTGACCGCAACTGCATAAAAGGAGGAACTTGCTCCTACATACATAATTTTTGAGCGTTTTATGCCGTTCGACTGCAAACCGCACAACTGCACAAGCATAAAAGAGGTCTTACACTGGAAGGGACCAAAACCACGAGGACTGCAGCTCATATTTGGGGGGCAAGAATGATCTATGTAAAATATAATCATCTGCGCTTGATATAAAAAATATGAATGAGAAGAGGAATGCATGATATTTTTGTTTATCACTTCACCTAAATGAACCATTAGACAGTTCGGGCGTATATTGTCTGCCATGTTCATCTCTATGGATGAGTTATGAAATTAACGGTGGTAATATACGAGGTCCCTCGAAAAATAAGGTGATTGTTCAAATTTAGCCGGCTCTGTACATTCGATTAACGATTTCCTATTTTTTTAAGTTGGTACACTCGTCACGAACATGTTCAGAGTTTTAGCTGTTTGAAAATGTTCGGTTTATTGGCGAGACGCATGAAAGTTCGTGTACGGTGATTTTCTGCTATCGAAAAAAGTGGATTGAAGAAATCCCATCAAGTTTTGTTGAAAAAATGGAATTGAGTGCTCAAAAACACTTGAAATATTGACAGTGGCATACGGTGATTGTACCGTGAGACAGACATATGTTTACAAGTGGTACAAACTATTCACAGGAGGTCGAGGAGATGTGAATAACGACGCTCGTCCTGGGCGCCCCAGCACGTCAACAATCGAAGAAAATGTTGAGAAAGTGGGGAAGATTGTTATGGAGAATCGTCGAATCTCTAGTAGAGAAGTTGCTGAGAATAACGGCATATCGCTTGGCTCATGCCATGGAACTTTTTCTGGAAATTGGGGCATGCAGCGGGTGGCAGCGAAGTTTGCTCTAAAATTGCTGAATGTTGACCAAAAAACCGTCGCATGAGCATCGCTCAGGAATTGTTCAAAGACGCCAACGGCGATCCAGATTTGCTTGGGAGGGTAATAACTGGTGACGAATTATGGGTGTATGATTATGACATCGAGACCAGAGTTCAACCGTTCCAATGGAAGAGCCCAGGAGAGCCAAGACCTACATAAGCTCGCCTAATACAAAAACCTCTTCGATTCATTATATTTATTTGAACAGACTTTGTAACTGCGGGGTTCTTTCAGATCCTGAAATAATTGATAATACAATTTATTTACGCTTCATCTGCCTGTGCAAATCATAGAGGCTGCTGATGCTGTTCGATTTGTATGTTCCGAACTTGCTTTCGCAGAGCTTGATTTTCTTCACGAGGTCGTGATTGGACTGTTCCCGTTTCCTCTTGGCTTGATCGAGCGCCTCTATCGATTTTGATATATCTCCCAGTCCCATGTTGTCCAAGTTCTTCACTTTTTCTTTCCTCTTTCTCTTGCGGGTAATTGCCTTGCAAGGTTCTGGGGGTTCATCTGTGAAATTATATCGTTAGATTGGGCGTGTGTGATTCACAAAAATATACACTTTATAATTTTATTTTCTGCTTTCCTGCTCTCCTGCCATATCGTGTACAAGCTCAATGATTTTTCATCGAAAAACAGAGGGGCAAGAAAGTTTTCACGCTCTTCCTCGTTAGGGTCTTCTATCCTGATGAGTATGGTGCTGTTGTTATAGAAGAAATTGTGTAACTGCAAAATATAGTATAAATTGTATCATTAGTGTTAGTGGTGTCGATAGGAATTGAAACTGAATCTAACGACTAATTGAGTAATCTTCATTGTAAAAGGGAGTTTACAATATTTTTTGTATGTAAGCAAAGATGTATTGAAAATATAGTATAATTTTGCGTGAATACGAGTAGTACTCCATTTAACGCATCAAAATAGAGAAGAGTTCTACGAACAGTTTGTTCTCTTGAAGAGTAAAATGAATAATTCATGTGCTCTTATTGTTCTTTTCGGAACATTTAAGCAACTTATTCATAATAGCGATGGACGATTCATTTCGTTTGTTATTATTTATTGTAAAAATGAAATGTCTGATATGTCACGCCTATGTTCCAAGGATACAAATTGGAGGTCTCGTATAATTTGCAAAATCTCATCGTTTTAAATGATTCAAATACCTTGTTTCAAAGCAACAAGTTTTAAAAATCGATTTTGAACATGCTCCAAGTTCAGGTGGAAACACCTTACCCTTTGCCTCTCATGTAGATCTACGACTCGTAGGTACGTGTGGCAGATATAGGCCAGTCATTTTAGTTGAATCGTTTTTGAGATAGAGGGCAGCGCGAGCGCAGATTAAATATCATTTGAAATCAACTGGTTGTCCTGATATATTATTTTGAAAAAGTCATCTCACTCAACTACCTACACTGTAGATTTTGGTAAATATCTGCCGGAAAACAACTTCTTCCCCGGCTTATAGCATGCTGGATTTTGAATTATTTCCAACAGATAGTTATGCGAAATACTCCACTGAGGTTCGTCACGCAAATCTTTTTCGTTCATCCAGCAGCAGGACCATGCTGAAATTATTCGAATAGAGTACCCATAGACCAGATTCGAGGTTTTATTTCTCATCAGTGTAGAAAAGATCCTACTCAAACAGCGAAGTGCCTGGGACATTTCATTGCTGTGCCGCTGTTTCCGATTTCAAAGGTAGGAATATAAGGAAAAATGCATGATGACACTCCTAGGGTTAAATACTCTAGAGATAAAATAGCTCCCGAATCGGATCTTTGGGTGGGGGCTGATTCAAGGCCATCATCCTGTAGAAGTTACTCGAAACCCACTATAGCATGGTAACTGCAGTTGCTGAGAACCTCACTAGCAACTTTAAAATATATTTCTGCAATATCGGAAGACTTAACTGAAATATAAATTCAGTGCACCAACATCTGCAATCAAATAGTACTCACATTCTTGCACTCACAGAAACCAAAGTCAGTGCTTCAACAAACCCCGTCCATTTTCTATATCCCGACTGATTTCCACTCCCAATTCAGACGTAACTTTGGAATATCTCTTTTTATCCAAAGCGATCTCTCCTGTCAACGAGAGGAAATGCTGGAACCCCGAAACTTTGATGTTATGTGGTTTTAAATAATATTACAGGAGATCACCAAATGCATATGATGCGTTTATCGACTACCTAGCGATACACAATATAGGAAACTATACTCTCACTTGCAAATACCATTGACTTTCTCCAAATCAATCATCCCAGTGCCGAAATTTCCATATTCGGTGACTTCAATGTCCACAATATCGAATTGCTCAAATTTTCAGATATCAACGACGAACAAGGTCGCGAAGCTGAGGCTTTTGCAATGAGCAGCGGACTTACTCAGATTATAAATTAGCCAACCAGGATTCCTGACCGTGATGGAGAATATGCTAGCCTTCTGGATCTATACCTAACAACCAATCAAGAAATTACACAGTTGCCGTAAGGTCCTCATTGGGATCTTCTGGTCACAAACTCATTTCAGTGTTGAGTGAATTACCGAAAAATGTTGGGTAACAACCTAAGCCGTGCAAAGTTTAGCATTACAGATCAGCTGAATGGGACGATCTTCAAGACCATTTCCGAAATTTCCCCTGGCTAGATGTTTGTTTCAGTTCTGAAGATCCATCAATTTCTGCTTTTGAAGTCACGGAAGTTATTCTATCATCCATGGTTGCATATATTCGTTTTTCAACGAAACAAACTTATAACTGCAACCCTTGGTTCAACAAAAATTGCCAGCAAGCTGTCGCTTCCAAAAATCTCGCCTATCCTAATGCCCAACACCGAATTATGTATATTAATGCGGGCAACAGTTGCAAACTAAGGATAAATGAAAGCAAAAAACTTCACAATCGAAGAATTAGGGATAAACTTCTTGCCAATCCCAACGGGTCTAGATCCTTCGGGTCGGTGGTTGAAGCTGTTAATCAGAATTTTACAAAATCTATAATGCCATCACTAACACAATCAGATAGTTCAATTACAATAATATCAATAGAAAAAGCAAATCTCCTAGCTGAACGATTTGTTCCTCTACACAGTCGATTTTCTGGGAAAGACACTACCCACTATTTTCACAATGCCGAAAATTACTTCTCGACAGCGTGTAGTCAGGCAAATTTTGAAACAACTCAATACCAACAATGCGTCTGGTCCTGATAAAGTACCCGTCACTGTACTCAAAAAGTGCGGAAATGAACTCGCCGCAGAAGGTTTTTCCCGTAAATCACTATATCCTCAACTATTTGAAAAGCTTCAACATCTTGAGCGATCTTCAATATGGCTTTCGGAAACAAAGATTAACAGGCGACCTTCTGCAAGTGGCCGTCGATGGATATTTCTAAAAAACTTTTACCATCAACGCTGATGTTCCTCAGGGATCCATATTTTCTCTAACCCTCTTTTTATTGTATATCAACGACGTATTGGAAATACCAAGTATCCAATATATTGCTTTTCTGATGACAGCACACATGTCTCGTCCTTACATTTGGATTAAAAGGGACACTAGTATGTCTGTATGGGTATTGCACAATTTACAGATGGTTTACAGAGTAAAGAGAAGAATCGAGTCGAGTCGAGTCAGAGTCAGAGTGAAGAATCAGTCAAAGAGAGTTCAGAGAGTCAGAACTAGATTATATTCTAGTTTCAGTTAGATAGCCATGTAGCTATAAATAGTAAAAGATTAACCAATTGAATACAGATGCAATTGGAGATTCCTAAAAAGTGCGGAAAGTATAAAGTGGCTGTGTTCCGAAAGTTCGATAGTCTACGGCGAGATGCGTAAGTTTTTGAAAACAAACTGTGATTTTAGTAATAGATTTGTAATGTAATACAACTGATACTCATGTGTAATGTCTCATGCCTCAGGTACTGAACGAATTTGTGTCCTTTTAGATTGTCCATCAATGTAAACGCATATTATAGCTATATATATTGAACTGCAAAAAAAAATGTTTTCTATTCCTAACCAAGAGACAAGTCCCACCAATATTTAAGATGTGTGCGACCTGCTGTATAAAGTTTAACTTTTGTTGAACTTATAAAATGACCGCTCGAAATAATATCTATTCTACCATATATACAGCGGGATCGTCACACTGAGGATCACCAAATTGTAATGAGATATATGATTCTAGAGAGAATATGAGCATTATAAATTGTATATGAGTATTTACAAAATCATTATTCTAATTACTCTCACCAGTACAATCGGTTCAAATCTGTTTAAAATATGTTTTTCCGTTAATCAGCTGTCGCCCCATACGAACGACAACTCTTAGAAGTTGAGAAACTTGTGCGAGCTAAGGACTAACGAAGTCTTACCTTTAAACGTGTGATTCCTAACACACAATTTCATTTATGTGACTTTCAAAAATTGAATCTTTATCAATTGTAATTATTGGAGCCAAATATTTATGCTTTTCAACTAAGCTGATCAATTAATATTCAGTTTTATATTGTTCATACTTTTCAGCCTCCAAGTTGATTGTTGAATCAAGGTTATTTAGCCGTTCCTGAATTTTTTCTGTGTCGTACATTATCTTGAATTTGCAAATTGAAATCGCAAACAGATCTTGGAAGCACAGCTCTATCCGATATTTCACTTAGTTAAAATTTGTATAACAATTTTTTTCACAAGAACTGAAAAAGTTACAATATTGAAATTAACCTGACGTTTTGTACTACCAAAAAGACACTTAGCCAAGAATTTATTTGGTTTACCCCATGGTTGAAAGGGGTGGAAAACGCAACCCCTAAAATTTATTTCCAATGTAACTTTTTGTCTTATTATTTGTTTAACATTTAAAAATTTATTTCCGATAGCCTGTTTTATTTCAAACAAAAAATGTCTCTTGGGTTTCTGCCCATACATGCTCAATAGGATTGAGATCCAGATAAATATTGTGGCAAAATTTGCTCACTACCCTTGCAGTGTAGAAACGTATACTATACAGCCTAACTAAGATTAGTGATTTTCATTTCATCTGGACCTATGTTTATTGACACAGTTTGAACGCTTTCACTTGAAAATTGATTTTTCTACCAACTTCAGTGAATGAAAAATGTTGTAAAACTACTGGACTTACAACGTAAAATACTCTCTAAGTACTTTTGAGTAGACATTCAAGAATAATGGAGAACAAAATCAAACTTTCATGATCAAAGCATCATGTCAGCTCACCTTCAAACTTTTGACGATAAGACGAAGCAGTAGTAACTCTCCTTGGTTCGATTTTGATCAACTTGTCGCACAAAACGTTTTCCAAAATATTGGTGCTGGAGCTTGATGAGTCTCTGTTAACAATGATATTTCGATGATTCAGTAGGTCAGACAGTACCCTAGTGAAGTACTGCTTATTCTTCGACGAAGCCACAGACGTCATACTGTCGCCGGGAGTGAGATTTCCTTCATCTCCCTTTTCACCTGTGACAGGAATGTGAAATTCAAGATTTTTTATTAATAAAGTAATACAAACAATGAAATTATGAAAC